CATTTCAGATTTTTGCTACCCGCTGCTCTGAACGTCAGCTGAGCTGCCCCTACCTTGTAGTAGTTTTCATCAGCACGAAGTGCTTTGGAAAGTCCAAAGTCACTGATCTTGGCGTAATGCTGAGTAACCAGCAATACATTCCTTGCAGCCAGATCTCTGTGCACAAAATTGCACTCCTCCAAATACTTCATCCCCATGGACACCTGATGCACCAGCTCGATGATGTTCTTGTCCTTGACGTGCCTGGAAGTCACAGAGGTGTCGTCGGTAAAAGTGAACGGTAGTTCATTTCAGAACAACCAACCACGCCCCTTGCGCAGACGGAATGTGAATCCACTCATTTCCTTTTCTTCTTAAGCAAGAGTCACAAATGGTGAGAAACAACCACATTAACCTGCAGGTGTTCAAGTGCGAACACCATTCTCCTGGTGTTTAACTGGTAGGATTTTCAAGGTGTGCTTTGAATTGCATGGAAAGCCGTGTAAGGGGGTGGTCAGACCTGTCTCACGGAGACCCAGGCGTCAGTGGGAATCCCAGTTCCAACACTGAACAGGTAACAAAACCAACCCTGAGTTTAGTAGGAACATAATGTAGCAAATGGGATGGAGTAATTAGTGGCTGTTAATATAACTTACTCCACGTGAGTCCCTCCCTCCCCACCGTGGCTGCAGGTGAGCCCAGCATGGCTACTCCATCGACGGCTGTCCTCAATAAAGACCAACAGATATTTTCAGAAGTGATTACTGAAAATATCACTGGTTTCCCTTGTAAAATCTTTATTTAAATATTTATTTTACTCTAATTCAGAAAAGATACCTGCACCCCAATGTTCACAGCAGCACTATTTGCAATAGCTAAAACATGGAAACAACCTAAATGTCTACTGACAGATGACAGAATAAAGAAGCTGTGGTATATTTATACAGCGGAATACTACTCAGCCATAACAAAGAATAAAACAATGCCATTTGCAGCAACATGAATTGGACCTGGAGATTGTCATTCTAAGTGAGGTAAGCCAGAAAGGGAAAGAAAAATAAAGTGATATCACTTATGTGTGGAATCTAAAAAAAAAGTCACAAATGAACTTATTTACAGAACAGAAACAGATTCACATAGAAAACAAACATGGTTACTGGGGGAAAGGAGGTGGGAAGGGATAAACTGGGAGTTCGAGGAGTTGCAGATACTAACTACTATAATATAAAATAATAAACAACAGGTTACTACTGTATAGCTACAGGAACTATAATTCAATAT